ATCTGATAAACATGCACCACATAAGTCACATAGAAATCATGCAGTACAACACATAACGTACATAGCATACAAATACTCTAGCACAGCTTCTAGTTACCTACACAAGGTAAGGTATAGTGAGAAGACTCACCTCGTGTTGTTTCGGTAAATCGCAACCCTGAAATCGCTAACACTCGATCCGCCGAGCTGTAGTCCCCCTATAGCACAATACATCTCTAATTAACACTTTCCCAACTAGGGTTGACCACACTATAACAAGTCACTCTTGGTCAACGCTGGTCAACGGTCAACGGTCAACTTTGACCGGACTCGACGAGTGCACTATGGCGACTCGGCGAGTCTGTGCGCATGCACCAATTTCCCTGGAACCCTCCCTTGATACGTCGAGCATTTCCCCCAACTCGACGAGCTCCACCTGGCACGAGTGGTGGGGCCACCACGACTCAACTCGGCGAGTCTCAAGAACAACTCGGCGAGTCCAGTTTGACTCGGTCCACCTGTCCTTCCTGTCTCCCCCTTGACTCACTGAGTTCACCTTTCCCAACTCGTGAGGCCACTCGCTGAGTGGTCGGGCAACATTCATGCTACTCGCCGAGTCTGTTCTTCGGACTCGGCGAGTCCGTGCCATGCACTGACTCAATCTTGCTCTAAAGGTCAGATCCAGTCCATTAATCCATAGATCCAGTCCCTCCATGCTTATTTAGCACGTAAAGTCACAATCTTGATGCATAAATAACCTCTACATGATCACAAATGATGTTTTTGACTCAAATACTTCAACACAAGGTCAAGGGCTCCATTTCCACCCATAAAGCTTGATGAGTGAGGCCCTCTGGACCTCTATGGATCCAGATCCATGGTCTCAACTCGAAGAGGGAACCAAAGGGGCACCAAATCACCCATAAATGACCACATTAAGCCTAAGTTGCATCAAGCTTCACCAAACAGAGAATGGTCCGAAAATAATACCTCTAGAGTGATGATCCAAGCTCCAAATCCACGAAATAGCAACTTCCTTTGCTTCCTCTTGCCTAGGGCCTCCTTCTTCTTGCTAAACAACACACCCAAGATCAAGATTGGCTCTCTTCCCTTCACAAAACGCTCAAGAACTCTAGGGACACTCTCTGGGGGTTGGATGAGCACAAATGACGGCCATAAGGCCCTTTAAATAGGCCTCAAACCCGGAGATTTAGGGTTTCATTACACAGCACAGACTCGCCGAGTCCATACCCTGGACTCGCCGAGTCCAAGCGCGCACCAGTGATCAATTCCGCGTCCCTACTCGGCGAGTCTGAGCCCCAACTCGCCGAGTCCTTCTCACAATATAACAAAATTTAAACTTACAAGATACCTGGTAAAATCCGGATGTTACATTTAACTTCACAATAATAATTATAATGTGCACCTGATCCAAGTGTTACAAGTGGTGTTTCAAAAAGCTAATTGGCTCATGGAAAGATAACCTATAAGAATCAACATTCGTCATAATTGTTTCTCAGGAAACAACCTCTGGCTACTAGTTGAGATCGTAGTACCATTTTGCAAATTGTTTTCTTTAATGATTCTATTTTATAATATTTACTTGAGCTTTTATTTTAACCGACTATCTCACATATCCTATATGAGGTTTGTTTCACACTGCTTTTTTACTTTTAACTTCACGTTAATCTCATCATTTATTATTTATTATTACGCGACATGACAACCATAGGGTAGCCACATATGAAAGTAGACATATAAGAAAAATGAAAAACATACTTGGTAGAATCAAGACATATATTATCGAGTGCATTGATAAGGTATCTCTCTCTCTCTCTCTCTCTATATATATATAATATATATAATATATAATATATATATATATTATATATATATATATTATATATATATATATATATATATATATATATATATATAATATATATTATAATATATATATAATATCATCTTGAGATTTAGATATGCCTTCAATGTACAATGTTTATTATTAATTTCAGTGTTGTAAACGCCGTGAGGAGTTCTTAGGTAGTCGAGTTGGATCGATTTGCCTTGAGTTTGACTAATTTCGATTATTTGACCAATTTTCAGAAAAGCGAATAGGTACATACCCGATTTCAAGTACTCGGAAGTAAGCTGAGTTTTATAACACATATTATTTTATTATTATTTGATCATAAACATATTGGTTCACATTATAGGCCAACTAGATTGGAAATATACGATTCACCTATTTTCATCTTCATATATATGCAACAAGGATATCATCCCTTTGTTACACCATGTTCCTTCCTATTTCATTAAAAGAATGAAGTTGAAAGAAATGGAAGAAAGAAACAAAATCCTTAATTTTGTTTGTAGAGAAAATCCTAACTTTCCTTATAATTTGTAGAGAAAGAAACAAAATCCTTAATTTTGTTTTCACTTCTTCAACTCGAAATTCGAAAACACAAAATATAATTTTCTTGCACATTCTTTTCTCTTATTTTCTTTTCTATTTTTTCTTTGCTAAAACTCGGAAACTAGGAAGGGTTATAAAACATCTATAATTGGACGTCAATCCGTTCTTGTCTAGTTTAAATTTCCTTTTTGAGAAGATGGAGCTCTTGAAGCACTTGATAAATATCCATGTTTGCAATTGGCCGTCAATTGGTTCTTGTCAATCGTTTTTTTTTTGGATATCTTTTATGATTCCATCTCTATTATGTGTAATAATTTGGTACACATTTCAACAATTCAACGGCTCTCGGGTTCAAGTTCTCGACACTCCACATACAAACCACCTATCATCGGCCACCCTATTTGGTACACATTTCAACACTTAGCGAATTTGTTGCTAATTACATGCAGATTTGTCACATACCATCTATTTTATAAAAAGTAATGTGTTGCCATGTAGTTTTTTCGCAAGATTCCGATTGCCCCCATAACTCACAGATTAGCAACCGATTAGATATCCTGTTTTGTGGTGATGGCGGTACATGCACCACAAAGTGTTACGTAAACTATGCGTTAACATGATACTATAAGTTTTGATTCGTAACAAAGCATAATATATAGCATCTATAAGTTGGTTGAGAAAAGTATGTTATCATTTTCAAACCCTTTTGAAAACATCTGAGATTATATTTTTAGACATTCTTCTACATTTGTCAAAATTTCGTTCGTTCATACATATTTTGCCGCTCCCTTGATGGTGACAAAGAAAGCAACTCCATGCAAACAAATATTTTCTATATATTAAAGAATTAGCATGCAACAAAAAAATAAAACATACAATCAAAATACAAACTTTAATGAAATAAACCTCAGGCCAAAAAAAGAAACAACATTCATGTTTCTTCCTTTCCAATCCTTTTACATCTAAAACTTGATCTGAATAGCACTGATAACATCATCACTAGCTTGGAAGGCCTTGGCAAGAATATCAGTTGATATATCTGGTTTCGAGCCAAAAATCACATTTGCAATGGGAATCACACCAGGATTCTGACTACTCAATGCTGCGATTGCAATGGCATTCGTCTTTCCAACGTTTCTTTGGTAATGTACAAGGTTTACTGGGAAAACAAAAACATCACCTTTATATAGAACTTTAGTAATATGACGGTTTTCAGGGTTTGATGTGACAAATCCAACCTCAAGACTTCCTTCCAAAACAGTCAAGATTTCAGTGGCACGAGGATGCGTGTGAGGTTGGTTAATCCCCCATGGAGCGTAATCAATACGAGCCATTGAGATTCCCAAAGTGTTGAGTCCTGCCAATTGTGTCACAAAAACTGGGGTTACCCGTGAGCCAAGGGCATTTGAGGTATTTCCCATCATGTGTAGTCCAGCAAAGGAGAAATCGTTCGCTTGAACCAAACTCGGGTTTTTGCAAGCAAATCCGTTCACCATAACTGTTATAAGAAAACGATTATATAATAGACATCGAAACCAACAGAGCTAGAAGTAGATTTTCTAGTAATGAAAGTGAGAAAAAGTAATGAAAGGATCATGGTACCTTGAGCGTTCATGTCTGCAACGCAGAAATCTTGAAGAGGACTGTGGTCGGCTGCCATGGCCATAGAGAAAACGAGAGCCAGAAAGATGAAAACACAAGCCATTGTTGATTGTTGGATCAAAAGGACGTGAAATTGATAGATGTAATGAGTTTGTGTGGATGGAAAGGTTGAAAATGTAGGTCTGTTTATATACCGAAATTAAAGCAGAGACGCCATGGATGAAAAGCTGGTCATATGCCGTCCTGTGAATATTTGAAACAGTCGTATTAGGTACGTACACAAGCAAGACAAAGGTTTATGAGCCGGCTTGGCCCATTCATGGCAAATTTGTGGATTAGATTACGTTTAGACATCGATCTAGTCAAAAGTGCTTGATCGGCTGTTTTTAGGTTATGTCGTGACTTGATTTCGGTTCAAAGGATTTATAGATTATATATATAGTTAATTTGGGTAGACGAGTGTATTGTGTAAGGATATGCGTTCTTGTAACGATGTACTAATGAATTTTATATATTTTTTAATAACAATAATTTTGATGTATTAATATCTTCTAGGTTAACCAACTTTTTGCAAATTTGTCAAATAACCATAACTTTGAAAATAGAATTTTTGTTTTGTCACAAAAAGTATGTTTGAAACTACTTTTTCTTGTAAAATTTACTTCAAAATACTGAAATTTTTAATGAGTTTCAAACTTGTTCGATTGTCTAAGTTGAAGTTGGAACTTCTTCTTAGATATTGAAATAATATAATAGAAAACAGAGAAAGGAAAAGAAAATTAATTAATTTTTCAATACGAAGTCAAGAATGAGGATGACCAATGATACTAAAGGAGGAGATGAAAGAGAAAAAGAAAGACATAAATTCTAACAGGTACTTTTGTATTTGAGTTTCACAAAAAAAAAAAAAATAATAAGTAAAAAAAATACATTTTTAGAAAAAATGCTTATTAATTAGCAGCTATGGTAGCAAAATAAAGTTTTTTAAAAAATGTTTGTATTAGTATTTAAGGTGACAATGACAAAACGTATAAACTAATAAACTTTTTTTAGAATGTTTAGCAAAACCTACTCATATATTTTAAGTGATTAAAAAAATATCCTTAAAAACAAATGGCGTCTGAAAGGTCAGTCAAATGGTTTAAAGTCACTTACAAGTCAGCAAAAAAGGAATAATCATCTTTTCAGGAGATGTTATTGTGGTTTAGAAACTTAATTTATACAAGTAAATGAAAACCCCTACAAGGCCGATCCCAATGGTTCAAACTTACTAAGGATCTTCTGGATCAACCTTGTAAGCATCTTCATTTAGTTGTTGTATACATCGAGCTTCTAAACCATAATAGCATCTCCTGGTAAAAGGGTGAGTATGCCGTTTTTGTTGACTTTTAAGTGAGTTTGAACCAATGGATCGACATTCAAACGCCATTTATGAAGAAATACTCAGACGAGAATAAGAGAAGAAGATATGTGAAATTAGGTTTTATGTACATCCTATATTTGAAACTCAATCCTAACACATAAGATCTGACCTAACTTCCACATCACAATGTTATCATTTCATTTATTTGGCCTCTAATTAAATCGATGGTAACCAGTTAATTTGTTGACATTGTAACAAAATTGTAAATGTAATAACATAATTGTGTTGAAATCGAAACTTTGGTAAACTTAATGACTTTATTGCAATTTAGAGATAGTGGTTACCGAAAGAACAAAAAGAATTGGTCATTTGGTTGATATTGCAAAAAAATTGTAAATATAATGACTTAATTGAAAGAAAAACAAATACAGTATCAAAAACAAAATTTTTTATTAACTTAATGACTTTATTGCAATTTATCATAATTTATATGATAAGAAAAGTCCAAAAAACATGCTTATTAGCTTATATGGTAGGAAAAGTCAATTTAAAAGTCGACACCCATTGTCAAACACTCATTTTACCTTAAAGGTTTTAGGATGTATTGAACACATAATTTTTGGGAGTTTCTAGCTTTTAAGAAAAATCTTGATAAAATGAAAAAGTTTTGTTCAGTAGCAGAAGCTTGTAGTTTTTGGGTTAAACAAAAAGCTCTAAACTCAAAAGCTACTTTAACCGGTGTTTAAAAAATTCTTTTAGATTTTAACTTGTTGACTAAAATACCATTTGAAATAAATAAATCATATCCATACTATTAGTAATTAACTTATACGATTAAATATAAATATATTTAAATAATTATGATGTTTTTGTTGGGAACAACAATATCAACAAAATTCTATAATTTATTAATCTTCATCTAAAAAAATAATAAATATTTATTATATGATTTTATAAACCAAATTTATTATCATATAATAATATTATTTCTTTTAGAATGTAGAAACATTTGTGCTATGTAAAAATGTTTTGTATAGGTTCTTACAAAATTGAAAAGTCTTATTTATTTTATTTGTAAAAAAAATATTATTTGCTCTATGTTTGGTGTGTGAACCGGAAGACTAGCTGTTATATAAAAAAACTAGTTGATAGTTGAAAAACTAACTGATAAAAAAATAAAGTTTGATAAAACTAGCTAAAAGTTATAAAATAACATAAAAAAACATTTAGAAAAATGTGATTTTTGCAATTAATTAAGGGTATAAAATGACGTTAGGTTATGTTTGTTGTGCTACATCTAACTTATTTTTTTAAAGTTTTTAAGTTATTATGTTTGACAAGCCAAGAAGTACATTATAAGCTAACTTTTTAAAACGTTACTTATGTTGTGTTTAGCGTGCACAATTAGCTGATAAACAAACTTATTTTTTTGAGTTTTTATAAGTTGTTAAGTTCTGCAAGCTAAAAAGTAATTTAAAAGCTAAATTTTTAAAAATTTATTTGAACTAGCTTTTTCATAAATATTTTTTTTAACTTTCCAAACATACCCTTAATTAATTATAAAAATCATATTTTTTAAATATCATTTTATATTTCCAGCTAGTTTTTACCAAAAGTTATTTTTTATTAGATAGTCGTTAGCTATTCTGCTAAAAACTAGTTTTTCAATTGCAACTAGTTTTTCACTTAACTAGCATTTTAGTTAACACATCAAACATATGTATAAAATTTTCTTATCATTTAAGAAGCTTAACCAATGCACTTGATATTAGATTTTGGATGATTTTTAACTTTTGATAATTATAGCTTAGAAAAACTCATTTGTCATCATTATATTTCAGTTTTAGTTTATATCTATATACCATATTATGTAATTTTGGCTTTTGACAAAACGCTCGCTTTAAACAAAAAGATTTGTTTGACAATATATGTTTTTAACTTTTAGTTTAAATAAAACACTTCAAGTATAAAAGGTACTTCATGTAGAATTTAAGAAAATGGTACAGAGATTTTAGAATCAATTTCCATAACTGCCCATAAAAATATATTTACATATTTATCTTTTTTAAACAACTGTCATTTTATATAATTTTACACATTTCAAAATCTTCCATCTACATTTGCCAAATACTGATATAAGAAATAAAAATTACACATTCCAACTATTAGTTATCACCTTCCAACTTACAACTACTAATTAGTTTTGTCAAACACGCTTTATATATAAGTAACCAATTCTTCACTTCTATATTAACTTCATTACTTAAAGAATGTATGTATATAAACAATATGGGAAAAATTATATTTATTGTTATTATTCATTTACACATTTTGAACTTCATTACTTAAAGAATGAACCTCTTCAAAAATTCCATACTAACAAAACAAAAACAATACTTGCTAAAAGAATGTTTCCATTGATTCTTGTATATATTCTTTAACTAGTGCTTATAAATTATTCTTCAAAGAAGTATAATTTGTTTTAAGTGTTGAGTATCATAATTAATCATATTTTCATTTTTTTCTAAAAACCTTTTTTCTCGTAAAAACCCTTTTACAATCACACTTGAAGCAACTTTTATTGATTTGAAAAAAAAAATGTAACATCTAGTTTTGAGAAGTTTCTTATTTAGGGATTGTGGCAATAAATGGATCAAGTAAAGGTCTTAGTCTTTAAGGGAATATGGCTTATACCTTATTGTATGTTGATAACTCTTGTTAGGTGATCTAGCTGTTGGTTTGTGTTTCAGAGCCAAAAGGGTAAAATGGGAAAAGTCAATTATTGGGCATCTTGCATGGATTATGGTTTTTAGATCGACAAAGTGTTAAGCGAAAATTAACTAGATAAAAGTGTTGGGTCGTCAATACCTTTCTGTGGATATAAAGACTGTTGAAAACGGAGTTGAAACAAAGAAGTTAAGGTTGTTTGAAGCTATAATGGATTTGGGTGGAAAGTCGTGGTCACGACATGGGGATCATAGCCCACAACATGGCGATCATTCAGGCCAAAGCCCATATTTTTAGGGTTTTCAATGTATTTAAGCTTAATGTTTCACATTTTTGGGCATTTTATCAGCCCCCAGCACCTCTAGGACCCCTTAACAGAAACCCTAGCCTCCACTTTCAAGTTTTGAGCTTATCCCCTATCCTCACTCCTCTTTTGGATGCTTGTTGAAATTTTTGAAGATATTTGAAGATCAAGTAGGTTCTTTTGGTTTCAAGGAAAGTTGTTTCAATTTTGAATCCATCAAAGGCACTATATTTATGGACTATTGTAAGTATAAAGTTCCAATCTTGCTATCTAGTTCTTTAGATCTTGTCATTTGGGGGTTTTGGCACTTTTAGTCCATTTTATGGGTAATATTGGAGTTGAGTAGACTCTAACATCTTTTGATTCGTTTATAATGCTTCTTGGACCTCACGGACTAGGAAAGTTATGATCTTTTGCCTTCCCTTCTATCCATGTAAGTTGTCTTGGTCCTTAAGGTTATTTTGGTGTATTAAAGTTTAGATCTTGAAAGTTGGTGACTTTGCTATGGATAAAGTTCGAAACTTTATCCATCTAAACATCATGTTGATCCAGATCTAAAGGTTGGACACTTGGATTTAATGGATTAAGTTAAGAAAGATGCATTTTGTGTCCCTTTGAGACTTAAAGTCCACATCTTGGTGGTTTGGAACTTTCTAATGGATAAAGTTAGAAACTTTATCCATTCAGACCTTAGAAAGGATCAGATATGAGCTTGGAGCTCTTGTAAATCGAAAGAAAATGGATTAGGCTCGTTTGAGATGTTCATACCCATCCCCACAATGTGGCCTTAGGTTGCCACAGTGTGGCGATTGGGGAATCATAAACTATTTTGGCATTTAATGCCCACGATGTAGCCAAGGAAGGCCACAACATGCAGAGTTGTTGTTGGCAATTTTGACCTTAGCTTTGACCGTTAACTTTTTGACAAGTTTGACTTTTGGTCAAACTTGGGTATAGTTGAATATTTGGCCAAGGATTGGTCTCGGCTTGGTTTTAGGAAACATGGGTTGGTTATGTTGTTGAGGTAGCTGTTGAGCTTCTATTGATTTGTTCATGTGAGTTTTCTGTTAGAATGTGTCCAAGGTCATTCTTGGCTTGATTTTTCGCCACTTCTTTCTCCCTCCTTGTGGAAGAACTCTCTTTATAGCTCATTCCTTCATAGTTATTTTTTATTCTACTCTTTTGAGTTCATTGAGTGTGAACCAAGAGAAGGATTCTGATTTGGGTCCTCATCAACCAAAAAAGGTGGCACGCATAAAGAGCCAAGTGTGAAGATCTTTGGCTGCAAAAGAGGTATGTGTTCTTCCTTTGTGTTTTTGGTATTTTCTAAGGTAGATGTAATAATATGAAACCATAGATCCATAGGTTGCATGTACACTTAGGTATATTGTGTTTTGATTTTTTCGATGCCTATTTTAGAGTGTGTTTGATGCTTAGAAAACCTAACATTTTCCTTACTATACTCGTGGGTCGAGGGCACCAATGTTGGCCCACTAGGTTGTGTTATGTATCCTGGTATATAGGATCTTGTTATGCTATAATGAACTGTTAGATTGGTATATATGTATGATTACCTATTTGCTGGTTATATGTTTATCTGTTGGATATGTTGACATAGTGGGGTTTGGGTTGAGGCTTTAATGCTATGTGTGTTAGCCAACAGATCGGGGCATTCCAGTCCAATGATTGTGGGCCAGGGGTAATGCAGTCTGATGACTGTGGACCTAGTGTGCACGACAATCCAATTTGATGATTGTAGGCCTGGGGTAATCCAATTTGATGATTGTAGACCCAACATACATGTTTGTACATGTATGGTTGTGTGGGGTATTTTGGGGGAACTCACTAAGCTTCGTGCTTATAGTTTCATTTCATGGTTTCAGGTATATCAGATGATCAGGACAAGGCGAATGAGTGATTGTGCACATTATCCTTAGATATTTCGTTGATTGATGATTTTATGATACTCTGATTTTGACTATGTTCTTGAAAACAATGTTTTTGTATGGTTTATGGATTATTAAATGGTTTTTAAAATGAAAATTTTTACTATGGTTTTTTGGATGTTACAAAAAAACCCTTCAACAAAACAACCCATTTTGAAGAGTATTTCAAATGCATGATGAAAACCAACAAAGTCGAGAAAAGACATTCTCATTCATCTCTTCCACTCTCTTCATTTTCATACCTGCTATACTTCTCCTCTATTTTGGAGACACCTCTGTCTTCAACAACCACTTGTATTTCCATATTTCCGATGACTGCCTCCACCAACGGACACCGTAATGAAAAAATCAACGCCTCTCATTTTCGGCTAACTCTCTTTTTCCTCCCACCACGACCTCTAAACTTTTGCATATTCCGACTACATCTTTATCTTCGAATGCATCATCCACGACTGCTCTCCTTCTCTGCCACCACTACTAAAACTCTTTCACATTTCCTTCTCCTCCTGTAACCATTAAAGCTTTGTTGCCTCTCTTTAGTATATGATGCTAGAGACGAAGAAGGTGAGAGGAGGGATTGTGTTTTCTTTCCGCTTATTCTCTTCGATCACCCCACTTCACAAATTTGCTCATCACATTATTAATTACCCCTTTATGGACTACAACCGTTTTGGTGACTTGTTGAAGATGAAGATGATTGTGGTAGTTATCGATTGTGTTGGAGCCGGTGGTTTACACAAGAGAACTTAAAGGTCGGGGGTAGGGGCTCTCTATTTATTAATTAAAATAAACATAATAAAAGGACAAAAAATAGACATTTTTGTCATTTCACACTTAGCCGAACATTTTAGATGTAGCAACCACATGGACGAGCCATGTCAAATATTAGAAAATTGAACTAAAAATATAGATTGGTGTAAACCACAGGATATGTTTATAGGATTTCGGATTTGTTTATAAAATCCTGAGTTTATTTTATTTTATTATTATTATTTTTTTCTGAATTCAGAGAATTTAATATAAAATATATTTTTTAGTAGAAAAAATGTTTTTTTCATGGTTAGGAATATCCATTTAAGACCGAATGGCTATTTTTTTGTTAAAAACATTTTTTTTTATATTATTTTCTTCAAATAGATATTAAATTGTGATTAAATTACTTAATTTTCTAACATACATCATAATTATTTTTTTAAATATAATAATTAATTATGCTTCAACTTAATTATACTCGTGGTTCAAATTGATTGCTTTTGGGAACAACCCCTAATACACCAAGTCCGTGACCATTTCCTTGGCTCTAATCAAAATTACTTGTCACAATCGCCTACGGCGCCGCTTTAAGTTTTCGTCATGGCGCCGGCGAAACCAATGCCTACAGTCGTCGGAGAAATGACGATCATATGGGATTTTGATCGAACGATTATGGACGACGATAGTGATCGCTGGGTGGTGGTAGAAATGGGTTTGACCCAATTGTTTAATCAGCTTCGCCAGACATTGCCATGGAATTCTCTCATGGTTTGTATGATTTCTCGTTTTTTTAACCTCTTAACTTAATTTGCGACAAAATTTCAGTTCTCTAGTCGGATTTGGTAATTAAATGATGGTGTTTCTAGCTGAAAACCTTTTGTAAATATGCTTTTGATGACGAATGTGAAGTTCTAATCTCGTTGTAAAATCAACCGATTCACAATTTCCAGACACGCCTAATTCTCTCCAAGTAATTGAAATCCAGCTGCGTTTACTTCTAAATTCAAATCGATTTTTCTTGGATTCCGTTTTTATATATTCAAACTTCATATCGAATTTTCATTTATCCCGACAATCAGCTTTTTCACTGCAACTCATCTTCGATTCCTATTGTTTTGACCAAAATAATCAGAAAATCATTCAGTTTTTGCTCCCAAAACTGAAATCGCAATCACTATTTAAATTTAAATACTGATATAATGACAAACTTTAGTGTTATTGAATTCAGGATCGTATGATGGAGGAGCTACATTCTCAGGGAAAAACAATCGAAGACATCATAAACTGTTTAAATCGTGTTCCTTTAGATCCACATATCATTTCAGCCATTAAATCAGCTCATGCTCTTGGGTACCCACTACTTTGATCAAGTTTTCATCTTCTTGATTCATCATTTCTGTTATTATAATGAACTGTGATTGTTTCAGATGTGATTTGAAGGTACTCAGTGATGCTAACAAGTTCTTCATAGAAACAATCTTGAAAAACCATGGAGTTTATGAATGCATTTCTGAGATCATTACAAACCCTACTTTTATTGATAAAGAAGGCAGACTTCGAATCTTTCCATATCATGGTTCAACTTTGCCTCCCCATGGCTGTGATCTTTGTCCTCCAAATTTGTGCAAGGTAACCTAAATTACTCAATCAGCAACTATCAATCTTGTTTCCCTCTGATCTCAAACTTATAAACAGGGATTAGTTTTAAATCAAATACAAGATTCAATGATGGAAACAAAGCGGGTGATAATCTACATTGGAGATGGTGGAGGTGATTTTTGTCCAACTTTGAAGCTTGAAGAAAAAGACCATGTGATGCCTAGAAAAAACTTCCCATTACATCATCTGATTTCCAAATCATCTGTACCTATTAAGCCAAAAGTTCATGAATGGAGTAATGGGGAAGAACTCAACAAGATTCTGCTTCACCTTATTCATCCTATCACCACTAATCCAGCAGACTGATTGGATCAGAACTGAATTCTGGTTGAATTGTTTCACCAAAAAAAACTAAAATATTCTTTAAATGATGAAACTTGGGTATTGACTGTGCAAGGTTTGCACAAACTACAATAGCATTCGTAGCTAAAAGAGTTTAGGGCACTTTGTGTATTGCTTATAAATAATCTTACTTCTTGGTAGGTGTGTATTTCAATATATGATAAAAGTTGGTCGCTTTGAGTAGGGGTGTCCTGTTGATTTTTTAGGGCAGTGTGTGAAAAACAAAATAGTCCCCTAAGTATAATTTTTTTAATAAATAAACAAAATCCGTTAATACTATGGTAAGTCTATAAATGTTATAAAACAATCAAAACAGAAGAACAATAGTATATAATATTACAATGATTTGAATAGCAAAACTCTTATAACATTTTTTGAAACGACCAATTCTTTATAATCATTATTCTCCAATATAATGTGTTCAATAACTATCATTATCAATCCAATATAATATTTTTGCTTAATTATATATATATATATATATATATATATATATCTTAACTATCTTATAAAAGAAATCTTGTTATTTCTAAAAATAGGTTGAATATAATAATAATATTTTTTTAAGATGTTCAAATCATTAAACTAATAGTACAACAATCATTCAATATAATAATATTATAATTTAGAATCGTACAAATAATATTTCATAATGTACAAATATCTTATTCACAAGGAACATAAGAGTTTAAGGGTCAAACCTTATCCTTTGAATAAAAAATAACAGATAACCTTCTTATTTGCAAAACTCAGTCAACATAAAAAACCGGCGAACATCTTATGTTTCTTCCCCCATAATCGGACACATTTTCCCCAATTGCATAAGTCGACATCCTCTAGAAACCCTAGCTCCCCCTCTCGATCTCACGGTCTCCTTGAACTTGCAATCCGTTCAATCTGGTAAGCTTTTATGTGTTTTATATGTTCTTTTCTTTGTTGAATACCTAAACTAACAAAAAAAAAACTTATTTTTATGGAAGTTTTTTTGTTTTATTTCTGCTAACTTGAAAGCTTCTTTCAAATTTTTATGTGTGTATGTTTACTGTTATTCTATTTGCTTAAATTCAGAATTGTGGGTTAGCTGCTGTTAGTGTCGAGTCTTGAACTTTGATACCAAAATGGGTACAACTTATAATGATTTCTTTATGGGTGTTGCTTCTCAGATTTCGGCTCCCTCCTTCCCCTATATTTGGTGTTTTTCTGTTGAAAGAAAGGGCTATCAAGTTTAATTTTTGCACTTTCATACGAAATAATCAAAGGAATTTCGAGTCTACAAATTAAGAACATCCACCACCAATTTTTTCTGCAGGCGCCATGGGTTTTTTTGAAGTCAGATCTATTTTTTTAAGACAAATCATACCAAGATGACACCATCAATTTAGTTCATATGGTAATTTTTTGTTGTAATTTATTTTTAAATATTTTAAATGTATAGAAATCCTTCATCATCGTCTCTTTCTCTCAACTTGATTATATTGATTCTTATTTCATGGTTATGGGATTACTGGTGTCATTATTCTTTTGATATAATTGTTCCACTGTTCAAGGCTTTGGGACTTTTGGTTTTGTTGTAGGAAGTGCTAACGGAGGTTGCTTCAACTATTGATTATTGGAAATGTACTACATAAAAATATTAAGATCATGCTTACTTCTGTTTAGAGTTTTGAGTTAATGTGTGTATTTTTAATTGTTGAAGGTGTTGGTCATGAAACGTAACAAGGCTCAGATTTGAGGCGCTACTGGTCAAGAAATTATGGTAATACTTCCTGAACATTTAGACTGTAATAAGCATTATGTCATGTGATAAAAAACAATAACCAACAAATAAACAAGGAATCTAACGGGAAATTTAAAAAGGGAAAAGAGGCTTCAATTTCACTAAAATGGAAATGTAGATACAATGAAAAAAATCAGAGAAGATAACCTAATGGTTAACCTTCCTGTCTAATTCAAAGAAGATAACATGATGGTTCATCTTCCTGCCCAAGCTATTGCTATCCGATTCCTTCTAACCAAAAATACAGAAGATATTCCCAATTACTACCAAGACTCTTATTTACACTTAGCTAAGGAGTTTCTAGAATGGGTTGTAAAACAGTAAATAATAAATATTCCAAATAAGTCCCTCCATCTTTGCCCTTATATTTATATAGGACTCATTCTCTATCATCATGTTTTTGTTCTCATTTAATTTGTGTTATACAATCTTTGTTTGAGAAAGAGGTACTTGTGTCATGTTTGTGTATGTGTGGTGCTTGGCTGTGTTTGATGTGTACATGTGCAATGGTCAGGTGACTTTCATATGTCTGATGTGTAAGTCTTATGATATAGCAACATACTCACATTTGTTGTTGTTCACAAAAATCTGAGTAAGCTACAGATGGCTGATTTCCCATGTTTCATCTTTCACTTACTTATATGCTTGTCAAACACTTTGTTGTATATACTACTAATTCATTAAATGCGACACATTCATAGGCCCTTTGTAAAGGGTATTTTAGGTAGACAGATGGAATGAACAAAGGAGAATGCCCCTAATAATAACCCACATGACAAAAAGTCTAAAGTTAAACCGTCGGAAATGTATATATTACCTCAAAATATAATAACTATTTTTTCAGTGGTTAAAAAACTTTTTGGGTTTTATAACAATTTTGTTTTTCTTTGGTTGGGGAAGCTTGTGGATTTGGATGACTCTTGTGTTTTAATGCTAAGTGAGTTGTTTTATTTAGTTTTAAGTGAGTTTTTTTTAGTCAAATGCAGCCCATGTTTGATTCTGAAAGCTTTTGTTTGTTTTATATTCTGAAGGTAAATTGAGGTTTTTGTTTGTTATTCAAATGGGCTTTGTTTGTCTCAGTCTCAAAGTAATGTTGAGTATTAATGTTTTACAACTAAGTTCAAACTAATGTTTTAGTGTTTGACAGCAAAGTTCAAAGTAATTTAAATAACCTTTGGTTGAGTTCTTCTTTGGATTTAAAGGTAATTCAATTCTATTTGGTGGGGTTTGTATATGTTTTTGCTAGGATTTTTGTATCTTTTTTTGGTTGGGTTTAAAGCTGGAGGCATGAGTCCTATAAAGTAAAAATGACATGAAGTGAAAAAGTGTATGAATTAGTTATCTTTGTAGTTGAAAACTGTATGCATAGTAATTAGTACATTGCCAATGACCAAAGTTGTCAAAACTGAAAGAGTTTATTCAGTTTTATAAGTGTAATAACGTTTTGTATTTTTATGTTTAAGTTATTTGTTTAATATTTTTTTTTCATGTATTTCTTCTATTAATTGTTTTTAAATAAATAGTGTGAGATCCATTATACTCATGTTGCCTTCTAAATGACTAATTGTTTTTGCTAATACTATCAAAAGGAATACGCTGATTTTATACTTTAAACAACATATTGATTCAAACTTATATAATTTTGTTTACATTTTGGCATTCAAGTTGTAATCGCTTTTTCTTTTACCTTTTTTTTATTTGTTTGAATAATATTTATGAAAGTTAGTTAATATATACAGAATTTTTGTTATTTGAACACCTATCAAATTCTGTCAATGTTTAAGATATGGATTCGTATTCATTTTCAAATTATTAAAAAAATTAATAGTTCCAATCATAATAAAATGAATAGTTCTATTGAAAAGAGTTTTATAGATGCCATGCGTTTCAAATTTGAAGTATACACTTTAAACGTAATTTTCTTATATAACACAATTTATGTTGGAAAACTCAAATATATATCTTACATAATTTTCTTAGAACAAGACATAAATGATAATAGATAATACGTAATTAATTATCTAGGATTTTTATTCTCTAAATGAAAAAGAATAAAATAGTTTAGGAGTGTGATTTCGTATTTGGTGGAATCTGTACAACTTTAGAAACACCATTTTTGGGAAGGATAGACATAAGAAGGTGCTTTTATTTGATAAAATAGTCATAAATTCCTTCTTCTTCTTCTTCTTTTTTTTTTTTTTTTTTTTTTTTTTTGTGTGTGTATTAATATGTCTAAGAATGTGTTTAATTAAATTGGATGGCTTCAAAATTCATTGATGGTAATTTTGTAATTTTTTTTATTCTTGTCTAGCTTCTTCTAGCTTTGTTTTAATAAAATCTTGTGGCTCAAAAAGAAAATGTAATTTGTTCGTATTCAACGAATCATCTATGATGTGGTTTTGTTACTTTTCTTCTCTCAAAGTATTAATGTATGGTATTTGACATTATGCTTTCTATGCTCTTAATGTTTGGCTGATTTGGCATCAAGCGAGACTCATCGTTTCATCATCGTTGGCCTTACAATTACAAATATGAAGTATGAAAGATGTGTTTATTGATGATCTATTTTTCCAAATGGATCCAACATATGAAAACACATATCCAACATACACTAAAAGCGAAGAATACATTAATGAATACATTGTCCATTGGAAAGAAAATGGATCATTGAATTGAAGTTAATCATTGTCTCTTGAAAAAGAACTTATTGTCGAAACAAGTTATTCGCCGTCCGCCGCTTTGCGCGGGTAAATGACTAGTATATATATATATATATATATATATATATATATATATATATATATATATATATATATATATATAGGTAATTAAAAAAAAAAACGGGCTCCCCTATGACATGAGGCATGTGCAGTGGTCTATATCGCACGCCCTTTAGAGACACCCTTGACTTTCAGCTATAATTTGTTGTTGACGACTCAAATGAGTTTTTATCTAAAGAAGTTTGAGAGGTGAAAAGAGTTGTAAAAGTCCTTCTACATTAAACAGTTAAATTACACGATTGGTCAATTTGGTTTTGGGGTAATCTATTTGTTTAGTCGTTAACTTTTTTTTTTTTTAATGCAGACTATCCATAGTATGGGTTTTTTGTTGCACCTTTGATCCCCGCTAGATGTAAAATAATTGTATTACGTTTATAATTTTTTTTTTCTAATTTATTTATCGTTAAATGTATTTCTTTTTCTTTGGAAAATATAGATTGTTCTTTGATAAATAACGCCTTATGTCTTCTTTATTTAGTTGACCGAAGTTGTATGAGTATATATGTATGTAGATGCATTTTTAGAGCCAAACTAATATATTTTATTATAAGAATAAGAATTATTCGTTAGCAACATATCAAATCTTACCCCTCATGGATCTGAAATCTTTCGAATTTCATCATATCAGAAACCTAAGAAAACATAAATATTCATCGATCCAAATTGCTAAAAGAAAAATATAATTTCAAGCAAGTAATTTTATGAATAAAAATGCCTTAGGGTTCTCCTTCCTTCGGGTAGATTTCGTATAAAGTCTATACAAACCAAGGCATAGTAAAAAAGGATGAAAAACAACGAAGACTACAGTGTCAATGAAACATATCAAGTTAGAAAGTTGGAGATAACAGACAAGAGTAAGGGATTCATGTTGGGAAATATTAGGGTTTGTGGTGGAGATCTGGATACTAACTTGGATCGTGATATCACTTTCCGAACTGATATTTCTACCCTATGTCTGGGTTATAAGAAATTCAGCCTAGAATAATCCAAGTGGACACTTACGTTTCTAGGCACAGAAAACGTAAGCCAATATGCTAAAGGATTCTATGAATGTGTGATGAAAAACGAGAGCTAAAGAACGTCCCCCTCTTCTGGAAAGGAAGAGTTGTTTCTATATTAAACACGATTAGGGTTTCATTAGGTTTGGGATGTCATTAGTTACTTTGGAAGCAAGTAATACTAATCCGGATTAGGGTTACCAAAACTAACGAGTTTCGTTAGTTTTACCATAATCCCCCTCAAGAAATTGATTTTCCATTATATTCCCACAGGCAAAATTCGGTGAGGTTTAGGGGCTCTGCTCAAATTGAACCTCCCGCTCAAATGGAGGGGAAATGTTAAGCTATTATTTATTGGATAGTTTAGGTCTTTTTATCATGATATAGTGCAGAGTCCTTTATGTAGTTGTACGATATTGGTTGGAACATATATAGCAAAGGAATACATAAAAAAATCCTAACAGAGATATTTTCACAAACCAAGCACACAATTTTTCATTATGACAACTTCAATGTTGTATACTTGAAATCAATTGTTGTGTAGTGTTGTATACTTGAAATGAATTCTTGTGCAACATAGATGCATGAAGTACATAAATATTGACATTCGCTTTGTTCAAGATCAAGTATCTTTGGGGTTAGTTTGTATTTTTCATAACCTGTAATTTATTTCTAAGTGGAATTAATAAATTAAACGTTTACCAATTATATTTTATCAAGAGAAAAATACATGGCATAAAAGAGAAGATAATTAATCAATGTACAAAATTATAACATAAAAAGGGTTTTATTGTACAACATCATAAAATAAAATGGTTTTTTTTGTCCAAAAAATAACATAATAGGTTAGGTTTTTCTGATGTCACAAGTGTTATGTAACCGGCTCTCAAAGGGTTTTCCGGTTACAAAACATTATTTTAGGCATGATTAACAAATAAAATAGTTTTATCGTACATAAAAATAATATAATGGTTTTTTCGAGCATTACAAGATAATGCTGGGTTTTTCTAAGATTTTCCCAAATTATATTGCAGAAAAACAAAAAAGAAAAAGCCATGGCTTTTTTTGAGTTGCTCGTCTCTCTAGATTATGAAACTGGGTGCAGATTTCAACGACAACGCCCCCTTTCTCTTTCCGGTTCAACTGTTGGGCAGTTCGGCGCTACTGATTCAGAAATCGACATTCGGCCATCGCAACGCTTACCTACCACCCGTAAGTAGTATCGTCTGTTTATATTGAAATTATGTGTTCCGATAATCCGATTTCAGCTCCATTATATCTATCTAGCGAATGAATTAGTGTTTAACCATCAAACTTATTGAATTTCTATAGATAAAAGCTATCTTGAAATTTTATATAATGCTTATTAGCAACACATCAAATCTTACCTCTCATGGATCTGAAATCTTTCGAATTTCAGCGTATCAGAAACCTAAGAAAACATAAATATCCATCGATCCAAATTGACCCAACTTGCCGAGTTATCCTTAAACTCGTCGAGTTTCTCCACCAATATGCATAGATCGGGAAAAACCAAGTCAACTCACCGAGTTGACCCACCAACCCACCGAGTTCCTCTATCAATCTGAGAATATCAGGAAAAACCGAGCCAACTCACCGAGTTTATCCCACAAACTCGCCGAGTTTGCCAGGAACCAACCTCTTAACACATTAAGCACTTAATCCATGAGGACATGACTCCAAAACATGATCTAACTTTCTTGAGCTGGAAAACTATGTAAGGTTGCCAAATTTACGTTCATGCATGTCTAAATGAAGCTCTTAAGCTTGAAATAGACTTATTAATTGACTTAATGTATGCAGGACACCAAAATCCTCATAAATTTTGCACCTTTAAGCTCAAGGGGTACCAAAACCAACTCAGATCTGAAGGAACAACCCCAAAAATGACTTTACTCCATCATCATCCCCAAAAACAGGCCAAAACACAACAAAACCCAAAAATAAGGAGATCTAATCATCCATAAGTCAAGGTATGAACTTGATACCTTAAAGTGGCTGGAAGAATGGAGTGATTTTGGATCCAAGACTTCATTCTCCAAGCTAGAAACTTCAAGATCTCCTAATTCCTTCATAATGCACAAAAAGAACACCAAACTTCCTTCCAACGCTCCAAAAACTTAATAATGGAGGCTAAAACTCAATTTAGGGTTTGGACAACAATGGAGGCTGATAAGGTGGCCAGAAAAAGGACTTAAGGACTTTAAATAGGTTGTAAGACCCTAAAAATTAATTAGGGTTTCCTTCCCAACTGCCAACTCGTCGAGTTGAGGCTTCCCATGTAACGCCCCGATTCTCGAGTATTAATTTATGGTTATAAATTCTCTTGATTTCAAGGTCTACTCGATGAGTTGGTTGCCTGACTCGTCGAGTAGCAGCGGGTTGGTCCACATGTTTAAGTGACCTAATCGCCGAGTCCAAGAAGGGACTCGACAAGTAGGAGCTGGAGGATGAAACACTAATTTACGGGGTTTTTGCACCCTATTTAAAGGATCATTGGCCTCCTCAGCCTCCCTTTACAGCCTCTTGATAGTTCATAAACCCTAATCCATGTGTGTGCATGATTCTTCTGTGTTTTAAGCTTTGGAAGAGGATTGTTGGTGGAAAGAGCTTGAAGAACAAGTGACTAGAAGCAAGGAACGTATGAAATCTACCTCAGTTAGCACCTTTTGGAAGGTATCAAGTCGTTTCCTTGACCTCATTTCATTCTAGATCTTATTGGGTTAAAGATTTGGGCTTTTCTAGCATAATAAGAAGCTATTCTTGGGTATGAGCTAAGATCTGAAGTTGTAACTTCAGATCTGAACTCTCTTTGGTCTCTAAGCCCATAAAGCTTTCAGCTTTAGCAAGTGTGAACCCCTCCTTAAGTGTAAAACTCCACTGCAAGCTTGGTTTTGTCATTATAAGACTTTAAAGCCTTGCATGCACGTAAAGTTTGCAACTTTACGTGATAAACATGCTTTGGGAAACTGGATCTGCAATATGGAACCTTAAGATGGCTTAAAAAGCATCTTAATGGATAATAAACTGAAGGGATTCGACGAGTTTCATGGTTAACTCGGTGAGTCCGATGAAGATTATCGTGGACTCGGCGAGTCAGTGGGGCGACTCGACGAGTCAGTTAGGGTTTTCCAAGTTTTTGGCACGCATGAACTCGACGAGTTGCAGGGGAAACTTGATGAGTTGGCTAAGGATTTTACGGCCACAAACATTAGGAACTCGACGAGTCACTCAAGTGACTCGACGAGTTAATGAGCTATGCAAGGAACTCGACGAGTGGCTGGTTGTACTCGACGATTTAAGGTCAACATGGATTGTGGACCTTGACCATTGACTTGGACTTTGACCAAGGGTTAACTAGTTGACTTCTAGGAGCATTTTGGGAAATTGGAAATTATAAGTATGCTTCTATGGTGAATATAGGTGGTCGAGTTGTGTCAGGTGATCCGAGAGTGGAGCTTATCACTTCAGCGCGTCAGTTGCGAGGTGAGTTATCCTCAATGTTGTCAAGGATCTAAGGCACCAAGGTCGGCCCTTTGTTTTGTTATTATGATTATTACTGTTGTGATATGTTAGTTCAGTATCCTGGTAGATAGGATGGTTATATGCTAGTATGATCTGTTAGATCAGTATCCTGGTAGATCGAATGTGGTTATGTTTGGTGACCTATAGTTGGTCTGACTGTCTGTATGCTAGTTGTTATGCCAGTTAGGTAGATCTGTAGGACTACATGTAGTATTATGTGATTATCTGTATGTTCATTAGTTGTGTTATATGTCGACATATTATGTGGGATGGGTTGAGGTGAAATTGCTCTGTGCGGTAACCAACAAACCCGGGAGAATTCCAGATACGAGTTGAGGGAGACTCGTACTGTAGGATCGATGGCAATCCAGATATGAGATGTGGGCCCAAAAGGCAATCCAGACTCACACTATGGGCCTAGAGGTAATCCAGTCTATAAAGTTGTGGACCCAATACATCCTATTAGTTGTGTATGTGTTATGTGAAGTGTATCCGTATGTTGGCTTTCCAACCCAATGGTTGAGGGCCTAAGGTATTCCATCCTGATGGATGATTGGACCCATAGTATGTTGTTTGTTATTGTATGTGTATTATTGTGTGTATGGGTATTTTGGGGGTAACTCACTAAGCTTTCGGGCTTACAATTTCAGTTTATTGTTTCAGGTTCAGCGGATGACCGCGGAAAGGCGAAGGCGTGGCCGTACACTTCCTCGATTGTTGATTATGATTTTTGGGAACCCTGATTTTTAGACTATTTTGAAAACAAATTGTAATAATTGAATGGTTTTAAATGATTTAAAAAGTTTTAAATTGGCTCGGATTTTATGGATGTTACGCCCCAACTAGTCAAGTTGGTTCATTTAACTCTCGCGATCCATCCATCTTCAACATGAAGAGTTGGTCCATCCAACTCGTCGAGTTGACCTAGAAATATGGTTATTCTCAACAATTTCTCTTCAAGAATTTGGATGTTACATCGGGACTCTGGGGACCACTCCTAATAGCAGCTACTTCAAGAAGAGAGTGAGTGTAAATGAGGGAGGTGTGCATAAATGGTCTGCCTAACCTCTCTATTTATATTCATGGATTTAGGACGCATGTGGGGAAAATATATGTGTGTGTCGCGCATGAAAATCGTGGCTGCATCAAGAAAAGGCCACGTGTCATGCCCCAAATTGTCCATGTTACTCGCAATCTGATCGAATCCGATGTCAGGTGCGTAGCATGCGGAGACGCGCACTTGCAGCTCTGATCTAATCCCTCTCTCTATATGTGTGATGATCTCAAAGGGTACTACAAGTCTCCTTTAGGTTGTTTTGGCTAGTTTTGATTTTTCATTATGTGCCTAACGAGGGAAAAATAAATGATTTTATGAAAATCATATTTGTCTCATACAGATCCCGTTTTCGATAACTTTTTCGTAATGTTTATATCTTGAGAAATCTTTTGGACTATTGGTGCTAGTCCAATGTAATAATCCATATCTAAATAAATAAAATAAAATATGATCAGAATATATTAATAAAATAATGATTAGTTCATAGTTAATGATGCAATTAGTGGCAAATTATGAGGCTTAATAAAAAAAAAAACGTCACTTTGATTAGGGCGTAAATTCGAGCTAGTGGAAGAGTTTCATCAGTTAAGCCTCTAGGCATTATATATAGCATGTAAAATCGAGTGGAAACCCCACTGGAATTGCAAGAAACGACTGGGATTGGAAGGAGAAATCGGGTGTGGAAGTTCTTTAAAAGTTTTTGGAGTTTCTTTTGAAATTAAGGTATGATCACTCAATTCTAGCTTGACTAGGTTTGTCTGATTCTATTATGTGTTTTGGTTCCATACCACGTTTCTGTTCAGGCCATATTCAATTGATTAAAAAAAAATTGAACTGTTAAGTTCTTGAAAATTTAAATGAATATTTCTTACCTCGGTGGATTACTGAAAATTGCTTATGGATATATGTTTGTATGATGCGGAGATGATTAGAAGTGATTTTTACATACTTATTTATCGTTGTATTGGGTTAAGTCAAAGCTTCAGTTTCTGTAAAAGCAATTTCTTTATACAGACCAATCTACTCTCTACCCTCTAATTAATGATAGGGTGAAGAAGAAAAGACGTCGCTCTATTTGTTTGGTATAACATCTATTTAAAATAATAATAATAATAAAATGCATAAAGAGTCTCAAATGTTCTTGGTCAAAGTCTTGGGTAAGATGCCCACGTACTTATTCATTCGGGACTACATCTTACATATTTGACCCTTCGATTTTCTTGACTTGTCATTTCTTTTTACAACTTACAGATGTTACTTTGAAATATACAAAAGATGCCAAACATATTTACATGTTACTTTGAAATATACAAAAGATGCCAAATATATTTAACATATGTTTTCCTTTTAGTTTAAATACGCTATAATTATAGAAATACCATTTTTTTTTTTGAAGAAATACATTATTCATTGTTATACTAAGTATTTTCCAATATTAACGGTTAAAGAGAAAACCTTGTTATTTTTTTATATATATATATATATATATATATATATATATATATATATATATATATATATATATATATATATATATATATATAAAGGTTATTATAAACATCATATTAAACATAACTAAAATCACTATTTTGGTCGAACGAAACACGTGGATAAAAGAACCAAAATGAGCACATATAGAATGTTTTTCTAGGATTTTGCTTTAGGAAAATTTATTGGTGGAATGTAGGGTGCGTGTAGCATGACAGGCTTGGTTAAGACCTAACATCAACAAGGTGAGTTTCGTGTGAATTTTGTGGTTACTTGCATGAAAAGTTGATTCTAAATTATTTGCAATTAATATTACTTTTGTTATTGCTATGAATATTTGTGTGGATTTTATGAACTATTCCCTGAAAATGACAGTAGTTCCTTAATGTGTCACCAAGGGTGGAAAGAAAATATATTTGATAATTTGTTGCATTAATACTTTATTGACGTCAATATGCATGAAAACCACGAACTTACTAGACCGTAGGTTTACCCATTGGAATCTTTAAATGCACGCAACCTAGGAAATAACGTAGCGAGTGACAGCGGGAACGGGAAGGATAAAGCTCAGACTTGAAGATGGTAACAAGCCTTGAGGAGGACGTAGCAACAATTGTTTATTTAAATTTCTATTCGCTTCCGTAATTATTATTAATAATGATACTAGTGTTTGAATTTTCGAATTTTAGAAGTTTTGAGACTATATTAAGTTAATATTGAATTTGAAATTTTGGAGCATTACATCCAAATCTCTTTAACTTAAAGTGACAATTTTTAACAGAACATTCTTGCAATTTTTTATTGTCAAAATGACCACTGATCTAAAAGAATTATGATTGTGATCAAATCCCAAATAAAATAAATATTATGATGATTATTTTTGCAGCTTTGTATAATTTTTTTTAAATTAATTTAAATTTAAAAATTTTAAAAAAGTAATAAAATAAAACAACGTGTCGTCTCTCAAATCGGAATGAAAAACGCATTTCCTGAAATAGCTCTCTCTCTCTCTCTCTCTTCTCTCTCTCTCTCTCATTGAGCCGCCCCCACTCCTCCTACCGCCCGGATCCGCTCACCTTCTTCTGCCGCATCTAAGTTTGAGGTATTTCTGTATTTCATTTTTGTTTTCGAAATCCATTATTGTTTGTTACTTCTTGATAATTAGTTATTTAGGGTTTATTAATTTGGGAATTTTAACATACATTACGTTTTGTTAAAAGTTCATTTGTTTATTGTCAATTGTCACTAGTTAATTTTGTGTGAGTTATAGAAAATCAAAACCTAATTGGTAGGGATATAGTTTTGAAAACAGAAAAAAAATGGCATACAATCCTGTTGGCGGAAATGAAAATTGTCGCAGGCCTTGTTTGGGATTGAAGAGCTAAATCATAAATCTTTTCTTTTTCCTCCTTAAAATCAAAATCAGAATAATTTCCTTGATCCACTAGAAACGAACAATAACAAAAGCTACACAAAGTTCATAACTTTTTTGGAAACAGAAAACCTACTCTGGAATTCAAGGAGAAGAAAAGAAAATCCAAGAACTGATTTGGAACAGAAGAAATATTCGTTTATTATATGGTTTAATAATTCGTTTCTTTCTTCTTTACATAGTCTACAATATAATCAAATAGTCAAGAAAGATGCAAAACAACAAAGATTCCAATGAAGCAGAAGCATATCAAGTTAGAAAGTTGGAGATAACAGACAAGAGCAAGGGATTCATGGAACTTCTACAGCAACTTACAGTGTGTGATCCTGTATCAGATGAAGAATTCCAAAACCGATTTGAAGAGCTCAAATCATGCGGCGATGATCATGTGATTTGTGTGATTGAAGACGCCACGTCATCAAAGATCATTGCAACTGGAAGCGTGTTCATTGAGAAGAAATTCATAAGGGGGTGTGGGAAAGTTGGACATATTGAGGACATTGTGGTTGATTCGAGTGCAAGAGGGTTGCAATTAGGGAAGAAAGTGGTTGGTTTTCTTGTGGATCATGCTCGTTCTAATGGTTGTTATAAGGTGATTCTTGATTGTAGTGATGATAATAAGGCTTTTTATGAGAAATGTGGATTTAAAGAGAAAGAAATTCAAATGGTGAAGTATTTCATTTGAGAAGTTAATGTTTGTTATACAACTAACAACTAAGCTTCTAAATATATTATATCGACAACATGTTTGGTGATTTCTCACTCAAAACACAAAGGGCTTTCGACCTTGTTTGATTTCTCCTTGATTCATAGCTTTTTGTTAAGGTGTTCATTTACATTCTATTAAGCCAATTTAGATGCTTAATTTATTAATAACTGGTCAATTCGGGTTATAATTTTCTTTACAACGGACCACAGATAAAATAGAAAACAAGTTGAAGTGTCACAATCTTCTAAAAGAGCAACATCGGTTTTGGTAAAGCTCTTTCTAATGAGTTTAGCGAGGCTAACTCAGCCAATTTCTTGCTAGTATTTGAACCCTTGACCTTATGGAAACAGGAGGAATATCGATGTGCTAGAAACGATTTGGTTAATATGATACTTTATTATGATCATATTTAATGTATTATTTATTTATAAGTTCATATAATTCCAAAAGTCAATAAGTGCTAGTGATAGTTTTTTATCATAATTTTTTTAGAGCATCCATAATGTAGTCGAATATGATAATTGAATGATGTGACATATCTAATTGGTATTCAGTAAATTAAATTCTATTATTGTAGGATACCATGTTGTCATTTAATAGATATGAACTTCAATGTCTATTAACCCTATCAATGAAAAAAAACATTAATTATTAAATATATGTTTTATTGTACTTTATAAAGGTCAATACATTATAGAAAATATTTGATAAAGTTAAATGTAGAGTATTATGATGATATTACAACTCATTAAATTCTATTGGGTTCAATGCATTGCAACTTTAGAGTGAAACATAAATTATAATGATAACAATTTATAGAAGTATGCCTATATTAATTATTGAGATACCATTAAATAGAATTTTAAGCTCTAACAAATAAACTTCAATCTTAAAAGGTACTAATCTAGAAAATGAAATAAAACTAACTAGATAACTTAAATTTAGGAAATAATTTGTAAGAGAAAACATTTGTCAATTGGATCCTTTCATATTAGGAAATTGGCCACAAACATGGTTGAATATTCCCGTGTAGCATCCTATTTAGGCAAGTACTTTCACTTATTGGGATTTCCTTAATATTGGTTTCTGAAAATACCCGTTAGGGTTTGTAGTACATTTCATTGTTTTAAATAATACAATCAATATTACACAAAGAAACATACATTATAAATGTATTAAAAATAAATACAAACTAACACTCTCTCTTAGTTTGTGCGAAAGGTTCAAGTATGCTTAAATTATTTTGAAAATATAAAAATAGCTATGTAGGAAGGCCTTTTGTAAATATATCAACAAATTGATGAGTAGATGGAACATGCAACATGCTTACATCACTAATGACAACACATTCCTTAACAAAATGTAAGTCTTTGTTCTTTGGTGCTACACTTGGTTAGAAGCCAAGTACATGTCACTAACATTGTCACAAAAAACAAAATTAGTAGGAGTTAAATGACAGGGTAATTTGAGTAAGAGGTTATGAACTATGCGACTTTAACAACTACATTAACTACCCCATATACTCGAGTTCATTACTTAAGTTGGACACGATGTGTTGAGGTTTATAGGATTAAGAGATTAGGTTGTCACCAAGATAAACATAGAATCCAAATATTGACCAACGTGTCTTAGAACAACCAGCCCAGTCTACAATATAATAATAAACCAAACGGTTAACATGATTAACATATGTACATACCATGCAAAGCAGTACCTTGAAGATATCACAAAATGGCTTGAAGGCAAGAAAGTGAGGTTTGCGAAGATCATACACAAATAGGTAGATTTGTTGAATCCCATATGAAATTTATTTGGAATAGTGAATGTCATATATTGAAGAACACCATAAAGGTTTCGAAAAAAGGTTGAGTTAGCCACAAGTTTACCAAAGACGGAAAGTTAGGCTTAGTGTCCATGAGGATGCGACATGGATTGTAGATTGACATCTCAGCATGAGAGAGAATCTCTTTGACAAAGGTTATATGAAAGAGAAAGAGTCCATGTGAAGTCTGAGTAGCAACAATACCTAAATAAGTCCTAAATTTGTCAATACAAACTCAAAGGATAAATAAGATATGACCCTCATAACGGGAGACAGATCGGTCAACTTGAGAATCATATCATCAACAAACAAAAGGAGATAGACCGTATTCATACCATGATCATCGTTGAAGAGAAAGCTATCAGAGTGATTGTTATGAAATCCAATTGAGGAGATGTATACAATGAATCATTAATACCAAGCACAACGTTCTTATTTGGGATAATACATGGATTTATGTAGCTGACATAGATAGTTTAGATGTTGAGCATAAACATACGCATAAGTTTGTTTCATGTAAACCTCTTCAGTGAGGTCACCATAAATAAACACATTTTTTACATCAAATTGATTTATAGGCTAAGGACGTGAAATTGCAAAACGGGGAACCATATGAATCGTAGTTAGTTTGATAGATGGGAAGAAAGTATCATTAATATATAATCTAGGTTATTGGGAGAACCCATGAGAAACAAGTTGACCATTATAACCATCAAGTTTTCCGCAACTGTCGAACTTGTGTTGGTATAACCACTAATGCCAATAATGTTGGTGTAGATGGGAGGGGGACGAGATCCCCAATGGGATTGGACCGCAGAACATCCATTTCAATATCCATGACATATTTCCATTTTGAATCTCATAGAGCCTGAGAGGTGGAACAAGGAATATGAGAGATATCAGAAGTGGTGGAAATATTTGTGGTTTGACGAGGTTTTAAAGAACATGTTTGAGACCAAGTGGCCAGGGGATGATTATAACCTATAGTGTACATGGCATGCATGTGTCCTATATTGGTAGGTTTGGAAGAAGGAATAGTATGGGTAGTGGATGGTAACACCCCTCTTTTCTGGTTTACTATTTAAATCTTTATAAAACATTTTTATCCTTTTTAAAATCATCAATTCTAGAAATAAGGTCCTATATTCATTAATCACAAACATTTTCCAATTAAGAGTAATTAGACATGGGATTAAAAATCACAATATCAAAACAATAATTCAAGTAACCACACAATAATGTGGCTTTCTAAAATCCCAAGTCATTCTCTAACATTTGTTACTACCACCCGAATACATGTCAAAATATAGTTTAGGAATTGGAAATGCCTAGCAAGTAGTACTGAGATTTCACACATTTGAAGTTAACGGAATTGGTTTATCCCTCTGATTAATGAGAAATCCCCAAAATTTGTTTTAAAAATATTTATCGTCATCAATGTGATATACCATCGATTTTAGGTTGGACAAACACAAGTCATTCTCACCCTAGAATGAATGTGTGTGTGTGTGTGTGTGTGTGTATATATATATATATATATATATATATATATATATATATATATATATTCACATGGTCTTGAGAAAAAACCATTTTAAAGTCATTATAGTCATTTGATGTCTATGATGGATGAACGATGTCTATATGTTTTACTTGATTTAAACTGTATATGTATTTTATATCTATCAATATGTTGGGAAAAGATGGGTAGATGAAATTTTACTTGATTTAAACTGTATATGTATTTTATATCTATCAATATGTTGGGAAAAGATGGGTAGATGAAATAGATGATGAAATATGAAATAAAATGATGAGTGACCTCAATGTTGAAAGCAGATCCATTCATAAAATGATGAGAGGCCTCAATGTTGAAAGCAGATCCATTCATCTAGCGGAGTATAGATGACGACCACAGACTATTTTAGACAATCTAGTGGAACGCTAGCAGGCTCGCAACCTGTAGGTGTTTGTGAACGGTGTGTTCACCAGGTATACTTCACCCCCCTCATGGTTGCCTTACCGATATATATATATATATATATATATATATATATATATATATATATATATATATATATATATATATATATATATATATATATTGTTGAGGAATCCCCTAAGCAATATTGTCTATCCCGATGATGATCCTCAGGGTTGAACGATTTGATGAGATTAAAGAACTTAGTTATTGTGGGTTGAAAACCCTATGTGCTCACCAGACTCCCTAGCCTGACCCACTCAGTTTCTTGTATTATAGGTAGTGATAAAAAAGAACATGAGTAATGATTTGATGAGAGATCTAAAGATTATAGGCTATTAGAATAATAGATGTTTGTAAGGCCTGTATTAATTCTGTTTATGCTTATGCACTGTATTGACGGTGACATCTCAGCGTTTTTAATATAATGAAAATACATTTCTTCAAAAATGCTTTGATAATATACTTATCATATTTTTGGGAACAAATTCCACAATATTGTTCTTAAAAAGGATACTCTGATTTTAAATAAAGCATAAACAAATCGGTATTTTCTGGCCGGGATATCACAGATACAATTTGAACTTTGCACAACGTTTGACATTTGACAAAGAAAAAGAAGCCGAAAAGAAGAAGGAACGGGTAGAAAGGCAAGAAATTGAGGATATGAAGTTCTTGATAGAAAACACCGATCATATTTCAGGACCGATTCTTGAGCTAGTTTTGAAGAAGAAATAGAAGATCATGAAAAAAATATCTCCTGTAGATTGGTTCGTTTTTCTTTTTTTTTTCTTTTTTTAAATATACGTTGTTTTTCTAGTTATTTTAATCTTAGGTATTTATTAGAGTAAATTACTGAAATCGTCCATGTGGTTTGATCAAAATTGCACGTTTGGTCCCTAACTTTTTTTTTTGCACTCTGATCGTCCCTGTGGTTTGATTTTGTTGCGTTTTTCGTCCTTTACATACATAAAGTTAGGGACCAAACATGTAATTTTGACAAAATCATAGGGATGATTTCAGTAATTTACTCATTTATTTATTTATTTATTTGTAATTTTTATTTTTATTAATGAAGTGGTGTTTTAATTTTAATCAGTTTTTATGTTAACTAATCATTTTTTTAAAAATTATAACGTAAAAATTAGTTATTTTATTTAAAAAAAAATGAAAGTGAAAATAGTGAAAGATGACAACTTCCTACGTTTTAGTGGGAAAAGCTCTCGTGACAGACAAAAAGTAAAAAATTCTCTTTGTACACCCCTCCGGTCTTAGAGGAAATTTTCAAATCTTTTAGCCACTTTGTGACATATTTTACACATATGTCTATTTTTTCCCTCAATTTTAATGTCGTGTTTTAAAAAAAATCTTTCTTTTAGATTCCATTTAAGATTTGCCCCCAACCGTTATTGTGACGTGTCAAGCGCCTCAACGGCGTTACCATGCGAAAGACCCCCTCAACCCCCGCCCCTTATTCGTTTTCAGCCGTTGTCAAGATGCCCGTTGCCCTTCGTTGCCCTCTTAACATCCCATAACGCGTTAAACGATCCATTTTGTGATTGTTTTTTAACGGATAAATTAAAAAAAATTAACCTTTTTTATTTCACCTATAAATACATATACAAACATAATATTTTAACCAAAACCTTTTCTCATCTTCATCTTCATTCTATTTTCAAGTTTCATAAAAAAAAAAAAAACCCACTTTTCCTTTCGACCAACTATGGAGCAAAACCCAAACACCCCGCCTCCAAACACAAACACATCCATCCCAATGGGTTTTGCACAATATGAAAGTTATAAGAACCTCCTCACCTCAAACTCACCCCCAATGCAATTTTCTACATCCCAAATGCAATTTCCTATATCCCCTTAACAAAACCCAAATCTTCAACAAAACATTTTCAGTGCTTTCAGTTCCATGCAACAAACAACCACACAACCACCACCAAAAATTGTTCTTGAAACACAAGCGGGAGGCATTCAAAAAAGGAAAGGGAAAGGGAAAAGGAAAGGGAAGGTAGTCGCGGAAACAATAGAAGAACCTCCACTATGGTGGACACCGGAGAAGGAGTATGCTTTGGCGGTGGTGTGGTGCGGGACTTCAAAGAATCCAACCATAGGAAATGATATGCAAAGAGTTGGGTTTTGGGAAGTTGTGCTCGGGAAATTCCACATGTTTATGAAGAAACAACCATATCGGAATATCGACATGCTTAGCAGCAAATGGACTCTGATCAGTCACCCGTGCACCAAGTTTAATGGCATTTTCATGAGACTAGAATCACAAAGGCAAAGTGATGCGAATGATTTTGATGTTCACAAAACTGCGAGGGAACAATATTAAGTGGAAATGGGGCACACTTTTGAGTTTGAAAAAATATGGGAGATTGTTAGACTAGATCCAAAATGGAATAAGACACTGGCATCGGGGGAGACACAAATCAAAGAGGTCCCACAATTCTAGTTAGTATGACGTTTCCGATGCACGAACGAACGTCGACCTCAACACAGACACATATGATATCCCCGACGACATCGAAGAGATCTCCCCCCCCCCCCCCCCCAACGTTGACTGGTCGAACGAAACAAAGCGAAACGTGCTCAACATCACGCGGATGAAATTGATAGAATGACACAAAAGTTGGCGGAAATGAAAGCAAAGTTCGACAAACACAATCTGATTACCCAACAAAAGGTTGATGTGCAATGTGAGCACTTGGAGTTTCTTCGTAAGCAAGCCGAAAAAGATCAAATGGCGAATGATTTAGCCATTCTCCAGATCAGCGAAACAAATATGGAACCACGAGAAACGCTAGTGCCCCGAAAGATGAAAGAGAAAATCGAAAGACAATATTTGGGTGACTACTTGATCATTTTAGTTTTTTAGGACTTTTTTTTTGCCGTCAATGTTTTTTTTTTGGTGTGTAATGTTTTTTTTTCTTAATAAATTTTTAATGTTATGGTTAATCTAGGAGTTTAACTAAATTGCATGTTTCATTTTTTTAAAAATTAATCCAATGTGATTAAAAAAAATATAATGCAAAAAAACAATAAAAAATAAATTAAATTGAAAAACGAAAAAAAATAAATAATAACATGGAAAGTTAAAAATATTATAACTAGTTGTCCATTTCATCTATTTGGTGTTATAACACCACAATGATATGATATGTGAGGTAATAATTTTTGCATGTGATAACACTCTTTAACTAGTTACCTACACCAACTAGTAGTCTAATAGAATTCTTTCAAAAACAATCACCAACTTGCAATGAAATTCTATATATATTTATTTATAATTCTTAGAAACTCCTAAAGTTTGTAGGATCTTGGTAACATTATCCCTAAAAATTACAATTGAGAGGGTTAGGTTGGCTGTCTCTTGCCTCATGAATTAACAAGCATTAATTAGGTTAACATGGCTTTTTTTTCAGCACAACAAGTCGACTCCATCTTTGTAGCTTAATTAGGAAAGAAGATGGAATGAGGATCGACATAAAGAAAAAAAAATACAAATTTTATTTTGGCATACAAATGGCAGGCTGAGGCTCTAACAAACCCATACCATCATCATTTCATATTTGTGGCCCAAACCAGTGTTAACAATCTCTAATTTCCAGCTAATTAATTAAAAGCAGCTAGTTATTAACACGTGTTTAAACATAAGTTTAACAGCAACACATAAAAAAAACTCTGTAATTAATAAGATTATCATTATTAAGCTACATTAATATTAATTTAAATTACACTACATGAAATATACTAATATAGTAAGTGGGGATTAGGTGTGAAATATGCAATCTCCCATGTTTCTTGGATCTTGCCTCAGTAATTAGTCAGTAAACAATTGATATTAACATTTAACATAACATGGCTTTTGTCATGTAAACTCCCTCTCTCTACCTTAAATATGTAACAAGATTAAAAAAAAAAAAAATACAAGAATTCTATACAAATGACAGACGAAAACTCCAACTTATCCATAACCATCAACATCACATCTTTGTGTCCAAACTCCGAGCTAAGAACAGCTAATTAGCACATTTTCAAATACAAGGTTTCGCAAGTTGTTACTAAAGTTTGAGAAATGAAGATTGAAGAACATTTTCTCTGATTAAACTGAACAAAATGGAAAACACAGTACATAGTTCTGTGTATCATGAGCCTAACAAAATATCTAGCCAACAACTAAAATTAAATATCTAACTAGCCAACAACTAACGTTACTATAACATCTGTTAATAGTTCTGTTAAATAACTTATTACTATGTTAGTTGTGCTTTAACTATTAGGTGGGGTCGACGCCATCTCCAATGAAGCAAGTCAACTCCATCTTTTTTCTAGCATAAATTAATATGTAAGAAGTTGGAAGCAGGATTCGAAGAAAGAAAAGAAACAAACATACAACGATGGCAAGCTCAAGTTCTAATCCACATATCACACTTGAAATCGAAGAAGAAGAATACCCATACCCATACCCATACCCATCACATGTTTGTGCTCCAAATTTTGTTACCTTTAAGCTGAGTTGTAAGGATGAGTATCGTATTTGGAAAACACAGATGCTATGTCTCTTAAAGAGTCATGCTATGCTTGGTTTCATCGATGGAACATTTGTAAACCCTCAAATGGTTGTTTCAGGGAAGGAGAAAGTGGGTGAGCCTAACATTCATTGGCTGTGGAGAAGATCTGATTCTCTTGTCAAAGGTTGGATTCTTGGTTCGCTATCGAAAGAGACACTCGGGTGTGTTTTGGATCGTTTCGCAGATCAACAGACCGAAGAAGATTGCAGTGCAATGGATGTGTGGAATGAACTGCAGACAATGTATGGTCATGCTGTTGTTCCACAACTGCCTCCTGTTGTTGCAGGTATAATCTCTTGTTTGCAAAACTATCTTTTCTTTGAGTTGGTGATTAAATTATTTTAGATACAATTTTAGTAAAATAAGGGTTCATGGTTGCATAAATTGGGGATCCACACCTAAATGAGTATTTCGTTTAGAAAATCACTGTGTTGTATACATTAGATGAAACAAGCATTTAATACTTATTTTGTCTGCATCCCATCCATTTAAAGTTTCACATTAAAAAAAAAAAGTAGAAGTGAATGAAACATGTACTCATGTTTCCTATTAGTTTGTAAAACACAAAAAACTTAACTTTATTAAAATTGATATATTAACAATGATATGCTCTTTTAAAGGTATAAAGCTAATTTTTTTTTTTTTTTGTGTGTGTATTAAACATTACTTTGTTTTTATTTTCTTTTATAAAGATCATGCTGATCTTTTATTATTCCCGGTTTGACCATTTACCATTTAGCAGTTATTTACGAAAAAATACTTGTTAATTCTGAATGCATTTTTTAAGGAAAAATAAAATAAAAACTTAAGTGTTTTTTCAAAAACAATTAAAAAGTTGAAGGTTATTTAAAAAAAAAAAAGTTAAATTGATTTTCAAGTAAAAAATAAGGTCTTCTCAGAAAATAGAAAACTGAGTTTAATTCCAAAAAAAAAAAAAAAAAAACCCAAATATTAACAAAATGCATGCATGTTTTTATGCAATTACTGAAATATACTTTTATATTGGAGCAATATATATATATATATATATATATATATATATATATATATATATATATATATATATATATATATATATATATATATATATATATATATATATATATATATATATATATATATGCATGCATGTTTTTTAAGAACCTAAATATTTGTGCGAACTTAAGAACTACTAATTAAAACATCATTTCTCAAAATTAAAACAACAAATATTAACAAAATGCAGGGTCTCAGCAAATTTTAGGCTCAAAAGAACATATGCCGTTGTCTTTTTTTTTTTTAAAGAATATTCATATATATGCACTACTAATGCATGCATGGATATCTGTGTCGCAGTCCATATGACTCGCGACGTGTAGTTTTATGTTGTTGATGCATAGTTGGTAAATTTTCATGTTTTTTTATTTTCTTTTTAAATTCGCATAATAACTAAACCATATATATTCACTAAAAACAAAACTTGTGAACAGCAAATTGTTTAACCAAAGAAGGTCCAACAAATTGTTTAACCAAAGAATGTCCAACAGATAGAATCTGTTATGATTCCCATGGCTATCATATTCAAAGGTTCATATACCTTATAAGGCTTATAAGGCTAGAGGGAATGGTTGGGTGCCACTAATGGACATGCTGATATCGCCAGTAGCATGACACACTACTAGAAAACATGTACATAGAAACACTGCCCCTTGACCATGGCATGGCAAGGAGTTCGGCAACTTCTTGTAGACAAGAGAGAAAGTCAAAAATAAATTTTTAATCTCACTTTTTTTACTAATATGAAAAAATTCTATGACAAACGATCCCTTTTTAAATGGCTAATTGAACATGTAGTATGGCAAGATGACTATGCTACATGCATGATATCATTCCCTCTAGCCTAACATCAATATACACCCTCTGCATGCATGTATCTTATCATCTTTCTTTCCATCGTATCCCTAATGATTAGCTTAGATTAGAATATTACAACACATTTTTTTTCATCTTATAGTTTGTTTACCTTCATAACAATTAACATACAAATTTAGATAAACACGAAGAAGAAAGAGCAGAGGCTCACGAACATTTGGATCGTGCTATTCGATCAGGAGATTGGGATTTAGTTCTTGAAACAAAAAGGAAACACAAAGTTACTTCGATAGAGAAAATCACCAATAATGGAAACTCAGCACTCCATGTAGCAGTGGGAACTACCCAAAAGCCACAATTCATATTAAACCTACTTAACTTGATACCTGAGAACATACGATTGTCAGCTGTGCGGAATTCAGATGGCAACACACCACTTCATGTTGCGGCTATTATTGGCTACACTGAAGCTGCTAAGATCTTGGTGGAAAGAAACCGAGATTTGTTGTTGGCTAAGAACAAAGAGGGTCACACATCACTAGCCATAGCTCTTTCCAGTATGCATACCGAAACGTCTCAGTTTTTGTTGGCTCAGATGAATACTGACAAAGAGAAGGATACATTGTTTTATGGCACAAGTGGTGATGAGCTTTTGGTTTCTGTTATTTCTTCAAAGAATTTTCGTAAGTGGCTATAGGATTCAAAAAAAAAAAATCTAAGGGATTTTGATATAAAAGTCGTTAGGTTTGTCAAAATGTGACACTTTTGTCCATGTGACCATTTTAGGTGTCTTAATGTTACCGTTTGTCAAAAAAAATTCATTTTTTCCCACAAGTCTACAATTTGAAAAAAAAAACCCTTAAATTTACAAATCTTTTATGTTTTTACCTAAGTACTTTTTCCAAATTTAACATGAGAATTACCGGATGAAAAAGAAACTTTAGCAAATTTTAGACAATAACGAACAAAATATCGTCACAGAGACAAAACTTGTCAAACTTAAGGAATTTTATGTCAAAAGTCCAAAAGTTAGCAACGTAAATGCAACAACTAACTTTGAAATATACTTAGACTTGGCAAATGATTTGATGAGGCACCTCAAAAGAGTGGATACTGACGCTGTGCTGATGGCTATAGCTCAGAATTTCCCACCTGAACTTAATAAAGTTGAAGCATACGCTGGTTTGTTGCTTTCTATCTTGATGCTGCAAGATTTTACCTTCTCAATTTGTTACAATTAAGGCTTCTCTAACGAGCTTCCTCTACACTGATTTTCTACTTTGAAGGGACTGAAATAATGCATTACAAAGGAGCTGAATTCTTGCAAACTTTTTGTGATGTTTCCAAATTACATCCAAGAGCTTGTTGCTGTTTGTTACTTACAGTATTATTAGGGTTATTCATTTGGGGTAATTCATTAGTCCAAGATTTGTTCTGTGTTGTTTTCACTATCTATTATTTCATTCCACATTGTAGCAACTTCTAATTTCGTGGTTGCACATTGCATAACCACATATAACTCTAACAAACTATCTATCGTGTAATGCAGGGATTTTTTATGTGATTTTTCTTTTCCCACGAATGCTTAAGATGTTAGGTAAGATGAACTGACAATTAATTACCATCATTTTATAACCAAATATGGAAGAGAAAGAAGAGTACACAGTTCTTTGTTTGACATGCTCATTTGGTCTTTCAGTGCGACCATTTATTATAAAGAGAGTTCAAGTTCATGCTGATGCTATGGAGCTATTAGAGACAGTATGTAGACGAATAAAACATAAAAATGACCCGAGCTCTTTCCATCGATGTTACACAAATCCAATTTTTGAAGCCATAAGAGAAAATGCATACGAAGTTGTACACTGGATTGTGCCTTTCTTCAAAAACGCAATTTGGAGTACAAACAAAGATGGCCACAACATTATTCAATATGCTGTGATAAATCGCTCTGAAAAGGTTTACAACCTGTTATATCATATGAGCGATCATAAGAATATATACAGAACAATCAAGGACTCTTCTGGGAATAACCTATTACATCTGGCTGCAAGATTGGCACCTACCAACAAACTTAATCTCATATCGGGAGCAGCTTTACAGATACAAAGTGAACTACAATGGTTTAAGGTACGAATATAATGTTTCAAGAACAAAACTTGTTTATCAAGCATACTTAACATAATCTAATCTTGTAGGAAGTCGAAGGATTTGTATGTCCACTAAACATCAAACAGAAGAACTCTTTCGACGAAACACCTCAAATGGTATTTACAAGAGAACACAAGGAGTTGGTGATTGAAGGAGAAAAATGGATGAAGGCAACTGCAGAGTCCTACACTATTACAGCTGCATTGATCACCACCATTGTGTTTGCAGCTGCAATTACAGTTCCAGGAGGAAGCAATCAAGAAACTGGGATACCACTTTTTACTAACCACACTGCCTTCACAATATTTGCAATATCAGATGCCATATCATTATTTGCAGCTGTAACTTCATTGTTAATGTTTTTGTCGATTCTCACTGCACGTTTTGCTGAACAAGACTTCCTCTTCAAGTTGCCCACAAAGTTGATTATTGGTTTGGCCACGTTGTTTATCTCAACCACAGCCATGATAATTGCTTTTGGTGCAACGTTGTACCTTGTATTTGGTCAAAGAAACTCAAGAATTCTTACACCAATAGTTGTGTTGACATGTCTACCAATTACTTCGTTTGTGACTCTGCAGTTCCCTTTAATCATAGACTTGGTGAGTGCCACGTATGGTCGCAGGATTTTTGGTAAGAAATATGTTGCGTATAGTAAGGATAGTTTAGAAAGAATGAAACGTCCTTTCTATTAAATCTTTTTGTTGTATTGGTAACTTTGTAATATGATAGTTATTTGAGGTGTTGGGATAGATAAATTATGATTGGGTGATAACTTGGGGGTTTAAAATGGGAATGATTTTAAGAGGTGTGAATTGCATATACCTGTGCACTTTTCATCATCGTATTATTTTAAAGTTAAAAAAACATAAAAAAAAATGTATTTTTGTTATTATTATTAGTGCTTTCTTTTTAATGTAACCCTCAATGAACATGGTCTGTACAACATTACTCTTCATGTGACCTGTTCATAAGACATCCACAATAATATTTTCTATATAGTCATAGTTATCTGTAAAATACCATATAATCTCTTATATGCAGCTGGAGCTGGTGTTTCTTATTCATAAATTAAGCAATGTATAAAATACCTTATAATCTCTTATTTGACAATGCTACTTTTTTTGTGTGTAATTATAATTAAATATGAAATAAGTTAATAAATTAAAATAATAAAATGTTATAGATATACAAAAATAATACCAATAAAACACAAAATGTACTTTTATATTATGGAATACAAAGTAAAGTGGCTTGGATGGCGAGAGGTTTGGTAGAGATCAATGCGATGTTGGGAGAACTTCGAGCTGTTTAGCTTGGTGTGAACGGCTTAATCAACATGAAATGTTAGGTTACAGGTTGACTATCCAAAGTTTTCGGTTTCGAGTTCGGTAACAAGGTTTGACTTTCAACTTGACATGTTTGTAAGCCAATGACTAGAATGGTTTAAAACGAATTGTCTAGGGTTTAATATGTAAATAAGGCATAAACGCATGGGCAAAATGTAAAAATTGGTTAAAGGCTTTTGAGTTTTGACTTTCTTTGTAGCCAAAACGTTTTTTTTAGTGGTGTCTTCTTTGGTCTCTCGGTAATTGTATACACATTCAATAACAAAAATTCGATTAAAGCATTTTGGTTATCCTTTGATGATTGTTCTCCCGAATCCTCGTGGTTATTAGTTTTTGTTGGGATTTAATTATTAGTATGTCATTTTAGTATAATGAAAATTTACAGAGATTACGAGTAGAATTACATTCCTGATTTTAAATAAGTTAGGAGAGAGTAGAATTACATTCCTGATTTCAAATAAGTTAGGAGAGGTGGAGTGCATCATTGTAGAGAAGCCCCAAATCAAATGAAGATGAAGATACATCCAATCCAAAGTTAGAGAAGCCCCGTATCAAATGAAGATGAAGATACATCAAATCCAAAGTTAGAGAAGCCCTAGATCAAATGAAGATGAAGAAGACATGAACCCTACTTTCTGTC